GCTGTTATGCGCGCTCCGCGTCCGCCTGCCCCTACCAGTCTAGAAGTTAGAAATCAGCGCGCTCGACGTCAAGGGAGACTCCACGTTTTCACATTGCGGCGTGTTGGTTGATATTTTCCCAAGGAATACGAGTAGAGTATGCAGATACGCACGGACAACACCCTGAACCTGCGCGCTGCTTTGTTTCTGACGTTCTCGCCCGGCCTCGTTTCGCGCATCGTGTTGTTTGGCGGGGTACAATCACGTTCTTCGAGGTACGATGATCGTGGAATTTGACTGTATTCAGCCGCCTACGCGGCCTCCGTGGGTTTGTGCACGCATTGAACGGCCAAAACAAGGTGCGCTGCTCATTGTCGTGGCCAGAACACAGCTATCAAGCTTTACGCGTTCACGACATGCAGCACAAATGCGACCAACAACAACAGCATTCTTTCTCAGCCGCTGCGCACTGCACTCGTAGTCCTCGTTTGCGTAGCTCGGAGGCTGCAGATGCCCACCTTCGACAAAGCATCTCCAGGCCCAAAAGTTAGCCGACGTCAAGAACAACAACAACAAGACGGAGTCTAGCCCGATGCGATAAACGGAGGGCGGACGCTCAACTCAAAAGCCACGCTGCGACGCCCGGCGCGCCACCATCAGCGGACCCTGCATACGCGCATCCTCCGAGGGCCGACGCTGAGAGCGACCATATGCAGTGGCGCGCGCCGGCGATCAACATTTGGGCCTAGAGGGTATAGCGCGCTGCCGGCTAATAGATGTGCTTGGTGGCGTCGGTCGTTGAGTACATCGGCGGCGGGTGCGTGCGAAGGGAGGGTAGCAGGGCTGGGAGAAGTGGCGGCGGTGTTGAGAAATGGGCTTTGCTGTAAGATGGTCGAGGTCGGGCGATGTGGCGAAGAGGTACGGTAGGTCAAGGCGGCCGACGACCTTATCGCCAGACTCGTGTAGGCTGTGGCGTGTAGCGCAGACGGATTTCCCGATAGTTGTCGGTAGAAACAGAGTGGCACGATGCCGTGTTGTCTAATGCCTGATGCTTGAGCTTCATCGACAGCGGCGAGGTACCGAGCTGGACAGACAATACAGACAAGGCCGATACGAGCTTGCTGGAAGTCTTACGCTGCGCCTGCGGTGCGTCAGACAAGAGTGAGTCACATCGCACATTATGCACGACAGTTCAAGTAAGGCACGATGGTCTTGTAATCTCAGCTCTATCAAGTAGAGATGGATAGAGGCCTGATGGTACAAAGAATAGCGACGAAGAGCAGCCGTTTCAGCTGATGGTCTCGGTCAAAGCAGAGTTTTGGCCGAAAAGGCATTATCGCGACCACGTGGCTTGTCCCACGACGCGTTCGAGGAGGATGTACATCTTGCTTCCGACCACCATGTCCAACAACGTCTATCAATGTGCTGAAGAGTAGTATATTGCGCAAGATATTTTGTCAACAATAAGTGACGATGAGTCTGGCATACCGATGGACTGTCTCCGTGATTCGCAAAGTCAGTCCACTAACATACACACTCACGGTCGACTCAGAAGACGCGCTGGTAATTGTAGCTCTCGCAACGTACCCGGTGAAGAACGCAGGGGTACGTATGGGACACAAGACATCTGCTTATTGACAACGAACCTCTCCCGGCTCCGCAATAGACTCGAACATACCATTGCTCCCCGACCAATGCCTCCGATGGATTACTGCGGTCGGCACCTCGTTATGGTGTTCAAGTTCGCGCTACAACTCCCTTCTCTGCTCCCGTCACATCTGCGGAAGAGCCACTCGACTATTCAAGACCTCTCCGCAGGCATCAACCGCTCATCATCTGCCTCCCGCTAATACGCCGGCACTCACGTCTATCCTTGATCGCCTCCCTGGTGTGCGCGCGAACTCCCATTTACTCCAAAGTTCAAACTCATGACCCGCTCGGCAATTCTGCGTCTCGGATAGCTTGAGAGAGCTTGCGCTTCCTTGTGAATACTCGCCGCGTCAACGTCGGTACCGGTGTCATTGCGCGTGTTTGGATACCCCGGCCAATCTATGCGTGCCGTTCTTTTACCGCCACTGCACCCTCGCGCACGGATGAAGACAGCATGGAGGCTCTCGGTCCTAAACTTTGCTATGTATATAGTCGGATGCATCTTCAAACATGGCTACGGCACTGCCCGGGAAGTCTCTAGCTGCATGGATTCCATCTAGTTCGGCTACTATCCCGCAGGGGCTACACAAATGCCGGTTCAAATGATGGCCCTCCTCATAAGCCCGCCCACGCATCCTCAAGACGGTCTCATACGACGACATTGGGGCATCCGTTGTGACGCTCCGAGCATTCTTGCCAGCCCGTAGGGTGATGCTGAAGTGCTGCCTCGCCGTCTTCCATGAGACATGTACCTGTTCTTCCATGTCTGCATGGGCAGATGCGTACCTCCAGTCACCCACAGGCCACCATCACTACGAGGCAGCACAAGTCTTCACATTCCCATGCACGCGGTCATCCCGAGAGTTCCCTGTCTTCTTTGCTAGAAGATATACGCGACACCCAGGCTCTTGTCGAATGATATATCATTCGTCAAGGACTCACAATGAGCCGAGTCAGACCATCTGCTCAGGGCACCTCGTACCGTCCTCGTCGGAACGCTCGTCAACCTGCTTTCCCTGCCTTCGAATGCGTATGGCCAGCCTATCTAATCTGTCTGTCGCGTCACGCTGTACGCAGCTGTAGAGCGCTCATCTCCCGCACTTGTTGCGTAGCTCTTTCGCGGTCTTGAGCCTACCCGCGCCGGAACTTGCGCGCCCATCCTCTCGCCTCACCCTGCGCCCTCTGTTGCTTTCTTCGGCAAGCTTGCTTGAAGATGCATTCCTCGTGTTTGTCTGAACTGAGCACTCTCACTGGGCACGCAGCGAGAATGCCGCGTACTACCTCCTACTACCACCGAGTCCCGCGCGTCTTCCGTGGATATCAACTCTATGACGACGGACACCTTCCTTTGCGGCGTTCTGACTCGCAGATCAGCGTTCAGAGTTTGTGCGAGCATCGACCTGTATAAGGCAGTCGGTGGCGTTTTCACGAGCTTGTTGACGATAGCCGGAAAATCCAATCTGCAGACTGGTCGTTCGAGCTACTTGGTCAAGCCTTCGCCGCAATATGTTCACTGAAACCTCGTTCAACTCCAGTAGGCTTTGAAACGTCCAGCAGCACCGACGGCCTCGAGGGCTCATACTCCATTTGCGCTCAACATGGTGTGTCAGGACAGTTCGTGCTCCATTTGTCCTCTCCAGTACATCGTTCATTTGGATTTCATAGAAGAAGCGGTACCGGCCTCAATCACCGCTGTGCTCGGCGTAGATCTCCCATGCTCACTGTGGCCCATGCGTCTTTCCGTGATGCTGAGAGCGAGTCTCTCCGGTCCCTCCCATGCTACTCTTTATGGGCGACTGTTTGCCCCTGCGGACGCGCATTCAAGGCAGTCCATGGACCTCATTCGGCCTGCGGAATGCAGACGGAGACCTTTGCGAACTGCTAACACTACGCCCACTGCCGCTCGGTCATCACACCATCATCAACCCTGGCCGGTGAAGCTTTGGAGCCCACGAAGCCCGATGGGCTTTATCACTGTACATCTCACTAGCTTGCGGAAATGTATGCACGCTCTGACACTAATTCCAGACTGCCGGCACTGCAGACACTTCTATCATGTTATGAACCTAGTTCATTTCACCTGCTAGTCGCTCGAGGGTAGTATTTTGACCCGCCGAGATGCGTGCAGTACTGACGAGACTGCGGCCGCGTCATCATACTTGATCGGACTGTATTTCACAACACGAGCCCGATGGACTGTAGGATCTGCATCTTATGCGCCGGCTTGAAACTTGCTGGCGGGTGCGAATTCACATCCTCGGAGCTCCGAGTCTACCGAGACTCCCTGAACTTCGCGCGCCCACCACGCATCGAACCTTGCTCTCATTCGGAAGGCGCGAGTAATGACAACCACCACAACCTCTGTACTGACATGTTCCAAACCGGTCTCTCCCTTTCACCTGAGAAGCCGGATACAGCAGAGCGGCCGACCGATTTGGATGTAAGATCAGCATGCCCTTTGTTCCCTTTGCCGTCGTGGGGCCAAATGAAGTCATTCATCACACTGTACAATACGCTCGAGTGCATGGCGCAGGAGAGTGACCAGGAAAGCTTCCTTCGCGAGCACGATGTTGCTTGTTGCTTGTCGAGAAGGCGGTAGATGGGGGCGATGTTAACATCGTCGTGATGCAGATGGCCATCCTGATGAGCGTCAATCGCCCACGTACCGTCAAGAACCCTGCGAGATGTGATACGCCGCCTCATCTCGCGATGCGCATAGCCGTCATCTCGCTCAGATGAAGTAAGAGGTCTACTTCGGTAGTGTAGCGATCAGCCTGGCAAAGGTGTAACACGCACTATGTTACAAGCTTTACTCCCTTCAAGACACCCGTGAGACCTGTATGGTGTATGTCCACAGACTAGTGTACATCTTGGCAGCTCATACATCCGAGTAACGAACCCAGAGACGAACAAGAACCGTCCCGATCGGTGTGGCAACAATGACGCTTTACCCCTAACCCTAGAGCAGGCCAGTTCAACGCGGCTCGAGTTCGCGCGGACAACTCTTCCTCGAACCACCATGCTCCGCAACTCAGAGCTGGCGACACACATTCTGATAGCTCACTCGCACTCTACTGTCACTATGCTTGCACTCTATGATGAGAGTTCTTGGCTCGAATTGACAGCGACACGAACAGGCGTCTGCAGAGAGCTAGTCTAGCTCGCCACAATGATCTCGCATTCTAGAAACCGAACAGTATGATTCTGCTATTGCGCACGTTCCTTCAGTACGGGCCTGGGAGCTTTGCCGCCGGCATAGAGATACGAGGGTCTTGGACTATGAAGTCTGCGGACAGGAGCAGGTTAGGCAAGACATCGAACCGCGCGTCCTATATCGCGGCCTTCAGCGCCGACATGCATTCCCAGGCAAGATGCACGACCCCAAGGCTGTTTCAACACTATCCCCAGCGCGCTCGCGCCGCACCACGGTCCTTGTGAAAACGCTTGACGCCCAACTGCAATCTCTCACCGGCGACTATAGCACCCTCGTCAAACTCAACGTCGCGCAGAAGACCACGATCATCAATTGGCGCGCGGAAGCTCGTGCGTTGCGAGCCCAGCTTATTAGGGAGCAAGTGAAGCATGCGGCGGTGCAGAAGACGCAGGCGAGGTTGGAGGGGAGGATCGAGGAACTAGAGTCGCTTGTCAAGGTGCGCGGTTTAGTTGTTCCTGTGCATACGTGAGCTAACTCGACGTCTTCCAGAGTCAAGAGGATGCTTTTGCTGAAGAGGATACATCTGAAGATGAAGATAATGATCTTGCTGTGCGTGTACATCTCGATCATGCGTCGCCGTTCGGCCTGAGACATTCCCTGTCTAGTACCTCCATCGCGCATCACGGAGCACATACATCTTCGGCTCATGTAAATCACGTCGAGTAGGTCAACTTATGCGCACCCAACGCGTACGTCTCGACTCCTCGCTCGTCACATGCCGATTACTGATGCATCAACTGCAGGCACAACGCGCCCAGATAGCCGACCGCGACGACGAGATCATGCGGCTCACGCTCCACCGTAGCGCGCTCAACGCTGAGCTTACGACAGTCACCGCGGGCCTCCAAGCGCTGCAAAAGGTCGCCATGAAGCAGAACGACCAGTTGAGAGGACAGAGCACGGGGATTGAGCAAGCGGAGGAGGAACTGGAGCTGTTGAAGCTTTCGGCGGAGGTTTGGAGGTTAGATGCTGAGTATTGGAAGGCGGAGGCAATGAAGGCGCGCGGGATAACGAGGGCGATGGAGCAGACTGTTTCTTGTGCTGAGCAAGACGATATGGATGCCAGCGCGGAGCCAGCGACTCGTGTCGTCTTATAATAAGTTCCTCAGCCTCGGCTTTCTTTTCATGTTCTTCGGGGTTTTATCGTCGTATCTGGGTTCCAAGCTTTGTACACTATGCTCTATCGGTTCTGCTACTCGTACATATCCATATCGAGTTGCTACTACCTGTCATGACCTGCGGCGCCAAACGGCGTCCTCTGCAAGCCGTAGTCCGGACGCATCCTTGCCCTCGGACGGATGACGCTTTGACTCCGTGGTTGAAATGTGGTTTGTGCGAACTGAACTCCAATGGCGCGTAGAGCTCAACGTTGAACGCAGAGTCGTCATCGTTGACCATTGTCTTCGCGCCCCGAGTGCGGCGGTGATCGACGGCTCGGAGCTCGTGGTCCACGTTTCCTCTGACAGCCCACAGCGAACAATGACCATAACCACACCCTTTGCTGCCGCTCATTTCGTTTGGTGGTACTTTAGACATGGTCTGGACAGTGTCAGCGGCGACCACCCCACACGAAATGCCTACATATACTGCAGTCCAGGGAGCTTGTAGTTCACAACAAAGCAGTGTCTCATACCCTCGAAGCCTCACCAGTCTCGCCTACCCCCTTCGTCCTGAACATGCTCGCTTCTACCTCTGCACCTCCAACCTCCACTGGCTTCGAAGATTTCTGTCTTCAGCGTCTCAAAGATGCGAACATCAAGCCGCACTACAACAAATACAACTTTCCCGGGGGCATGCCGGGCGCGCAGTACGGAGTCGAGCCCTCTGCGCCGTCCGTGCAATGGAACAACAACAATGCGCTCGGACTTACGGGGCCGTACAACTTCTCCATCCCGCAGAGCGCTCTACCCCAACGCGTCAAGATCGAAGCAACAACTCCAGCACCGCTCGGCGCACCGGCTCAGCATCAGCAGTCGTCGAGTCTCGTCGCGCGAAATCGCCGCTTCGCAAACACGAACTATGTTAGGGTGGACCCTTACATGAATGTGCGGGTGATGCAACGGCATGCTATGAGCCCACAGGCGCGTAAGCATGTGGCGGCCCCGCCGCCCTACTCTGCCACCGCACCGTCGGCGTCCATGATGCCTCGGCCTCTTCAGCCGTTCACGTCGCAAGCGGCGACATCCGAGTCCGCGCTTCTGGTGGCGCCGAAGCCGGTACACGGCTGGCACATCGAGGCCCTGCAGTCCTTGTCCGCTTTGGGCCACTATACCCTCAACGCGAGTCAATCCCAGTCCGCCCCAGCCGCCGTCAAGCTCGAAGAGCAGAACGCGGACAATGATGTCCTTCCGTCTGAGCTTGACGCCAACAGCGGCCTCTACCGTGCCTACCGCCACGATACTGGTCAGCGCCACATCCTACACAATCACAGCATCGAAGCCAAACTCTCCGCTGCCGACCGTGCAGAGCTCGCCGCCATGCGCAGCGAGGTATCGAAGGGTCTTCAGCCGAAGACCTGCAGATTATCCGGATGCAACCATGTCGCGTCATGTACGCGATATCTCGTCAAGCACGTCCATTCGCACCTTAAGATCCGTTGGCAGTGCGATTTCTGCACGAGCAGTTATGGCGCGAGGGCGGACATGGTCACTGAACATGTTAAGAAGGAACATCCGGAGATGTTGGCGGAGTTCAAGGAAAGGAGGATGCGCCGGAGGGCCCCTTTGTTTGAATCTGTTGAGGGTCAACACGTGAAGGAAGAGTAGGCCGCATCCGCAAGAGCGCATGAGGTCTTCGTGATATGACTGGAATACGATACACAAGAGTAATGGACATCGCTGTCATGGCCCTGTATGCTTATGCCTTATGATACGATCTTGCTGTACCCCATACTGCTATTGCAAAGCCTGTCGAGGTTCTCCGAAGGATCTTGAACACCGGGAGTGGGTAAATTCCAATCAAAATCCATAAGATAGGAGACAGGGAGAATGACAAGAGGCGAATGTAGATGCGTCAATATGGTCGGTCGTGTCAAGTATCCACATGAGAAGACAGAGATCGAAGTCGCTTAGCAGCATCCGCCGGCTGCACCCTGTGCGGCTGGCTGGTTGACCTTCACCGAGTCCTGCGCCGGGCCACCCGCCGCGGGCTCTCCCTGAGTGTCGATGAGACGCGCCTTGATGTCGCTATGGTGAAAAGAATCAGTATGAATATTGCATGACGACAGTCGTTCGCAACGCACCGCGCAAGCGAGAAGAACGCCTCCTCAACACCCTCGTTGACCTTCGCCGACGTCTCCATGAAGCGAATGCCGAGCTCGTCGGCCAGTGCCCGGCCAGCCTCCTCTGTCACTGCGCGCTTATCCGTCCAGTCGCACTTGTTTCCGATGAGGATCTTGTTGACGCCCTCGGATGCGTGCTGCTCGATGTTGGCGTGCCACGTGCGGATGTCTGTTCAAGTCGGTCAGCCGGAGCGTGCATGAGACAAGAACGCGCGATATGACGGCATGTAGCGCAGCGCCACAGATATATTTCGCAAGAATAGAGCAAAAGATACGCACTGTTGAATGACTTCTCGTCCGTGACGTCGTATACGAGTAGGATACCCATGGCGCCGCGGTAGTAGGCTGTCGTGATCGTCCTGAAACGCTCCTGACCCGCCGTATCCCACTAGAGAAATCCAGATATTAGTCAATTAGTATATATCAGAGCAGTTGTGGGTGGGCACGCACAATCTGGAGCTTTATCCGCTTGCCGTCGAGCTCGATAGTACGAATCTTGAAGTCAATTCCGATAGTCGTGATGAAGGACGGTGTCCAAGCGTCGTCGCAGAAGCGCAATAGCAAGCATGACTTGCCGACGCCTGTACAGAAACAAGTCAGTACCAAGTATATCTTATTCCAGTCCACCGGGTACGCACCAGAGTCGCCGATGAGTAGCAGCTAGTAACATCGAGTTAACAAGTGCACATGTACCAGTTTCTGGACAACAGACCTTGATAAGGAAGTCGTAATGGGGAGGCGGCATGTCGGACTAGAGTATTATCACAGACAAATAGGTAGATATAGACCAAGTATGGGACAGGCGGACAGCAGGTGAGTGGTGAGAGCAACGAGCAACCGCGAGGCTGAGCGTAGCGAGGCGTCAGGCACGCGCGACTCGCGTGGCGCGTGTTCGCCCCACAGCTCGGCGCCCTGACTGCAGCTCGCATGTTGCACTCGGACCACCATGCACGTTGTCTTAGCTCTCGAGTTCGAGTGATTGAGTATCGTTGAAATGAGCACGCGATGCATGCTGCCGGGAGGCGAGCACTTGTTGTCTCGCTTGGCGAGATCGCTTCGACCCGTCTGCATGACCCTGCAGGTTCTTATAAGGGTTTACCATGGACCTGACTCGCAAGATAACTCTTCAGGAAATCATGACCACTGGCCGTCTCATCTTCCTGTACAATCGAAACGTGTAGTACGGTCACTCAGGAAGCTAGCAGCGGCCCACTCATTTCCTATAGAACCTCGTTGAAAGCGATTGAATGCGCTTTCCAAGGCTGTGCTGTGGCCGTGAGTGCATCCTCGTGTCGGATGAAAACCTTGAAGTAGTTGTCTGATCCCAGGCTATACAGGAACTCGATAGCACACGAGGGTATTCTCAACCACCAACCACCATCATGTCTTTTCGGCGACTATCGCAAGTTCTCAAGAGGCCTCGCTCAGTACAGTCCAAGCCGGCTTTGCGAGACGCCGCCGCCATAGCCAACATTGACGGCATGCCTGACGAGCCACATGACTTTGCTTCGATAGCCTCGGCGTCTTGGAGTGGATTCAAGCTCTTTCTGAGCGTTGTGCGTGAAGTAGCCGGAGCCTTCCCGCCTCTCGATGCGACGGTGGGAGGGCTCATCGCGCTTATCAGCATATACGACGTGCGTCTCTATACTCAATAATGGCGGCGGAGGCTGACCTGGCGGGCCTGTTTTAGCTTGTGCGCTCAAACTTCGACTGGATGGAGGACATAATGACACGCCTCGATCGGACACTCGCCCTTCTAGCCTCAAGATTAGACGAGAATCGCGAATCGGGACTGGCGTCCATGTCAAGTACACATGTCGCGTAAGTCCATACGACTGACTTCCATCTACCCAGGCTGATGCATTGTGACAGTGCTCTGCAGAAACAGCTCAACAAAGTTCAGGCTCTTCGTGATCGAACATGGATCTCTCGTGGTGCTACGTCTAAGAACGACGAGAGCGGACTGAAGGCTATCTACCAAACAATCGCCGATGTACTTCAAGAACTTCAGGTTCGCACCACGTTATACTCTATCAGCTCTTTCGTCGTCTCACGTACGCGTAGTTGGAGTTAGCGATCTCCGTCGAGAAGAACACGAAGTCCATCATGCAGGTACTGTACTTAAACCGAGCGCGTCGTACCCTATGCTGCATTGCTAATGCCAATCGTCAGGACCTCGTTCTTCAGAACCTTCCTTATGCTACTACAGCAGCGTACACAGCCGCGACGTCGGCGGCCGGGATCTCAAGACGCGGCTGCACCGATGGAACTCGCGTCAAAATCCTGCAGGACATACTTCATTGGGCACGCGATGAAAGCCGGGATGTACCACGCTTGCTCTGGATTTCTGGCTTGGCTGGACAAGGAAAGTCCACTATCGCCTATTCTGTCTGCGAGCGTCTAGACGAAGACGCGCTAGACGTGTCCGTCGTCTCGTTCTTCTGTTCGCGACGGCTTGACAGTTCCCGAGAGGCACTGCTAGTTTCTACTCTTGTGCTCAAGCTCGCGCAATCATCCGCGTCATGTGCTACAGAGGTTGTCAATGTTCTCAAACAAGAGTACGATCTAGGCTATCAGAAGCTCGAAGTACAGATGAAGAAGCTTTTCATCGACCCATGGCAAAGAAGTGCTAGTCTTCGGGAGGGCTTTCCTGTAACACTGCTTGTCGTCGATGCGCTCGATGAGCAGGACACCGGCATCGCCTTTGCGCGACTGTTGATCGAAGCTTTGAGCGAAGGGTCTCTTCCGGGTATGCGCGCGATATTCACAAGCCGCCTCGAAGCGCCGTTTCACGCTCTTCTGCGTAAATGGAGCTCCTGTTGCACCAATGCTGTCGTGCAGCACTTGAATCTAAATGACCAGCTCGTCGCAGATCGTGACACTCTGGATGCCGATATACTGTGCTATCTCAACGCGGAGCTTCCGCAGCATCGAAACACTCAACATCTCAAACGGCTTGCTGAGGCTTCTGCGGGTCTCTTCATCTACGCATCTACTGCTGTACGATTGATCAAATCGGACGCCAAACAATCTAAGGCTCGCAGCGAAGAGGAACGGCACATTCTGGAGCTCAGTGCCCATTATGACTACGAGGCTGCTGGGAGCGGTACTCACGATACCATGCTTGATTCACTCTATGCGGGGATTATAGCAGACACTTTCGATGGCCTGACCCACAGCCAGACAGATGCTCGGATGCACATACTAATCACGTTCATCATTTTCCGGCGCACGGTGCCGATGGGGATCGGCTTTCTCACTGAATTAGCCGGCCCAGGTTTCGATGAAGAAGTGACCGAGCTCGTCATCGCGTCGTTGCACGCAGTGCTATACATTGATGCCGAAACGGGCAAGATCTTATGCTGCCATGCCTCATTCGAGGATTACATGTGGAGAGCTTATGAGCCTCTCATCAACCGAGCTCGGCGTCTACTCGTCCAGGATTTCCGGGGCGATTTCATACCCGTACGGGAGAAAGCTCAATGTGTACTTCCAAGTTGCGTATCGTGGAATCTGTCTGAACGGGGGTTAGCGCTTCGCAACATCTCGGCTATCGGCCCGATGGGCGGTTTTTGATTCATGATCGCATTAGGAGTGTCCTATTGAGATGTATCATTGCACTATCCCTGTGATAATATCAAGCAATAGCGAGTAGAACGAGAGCCTCCAGTGTCGACGATGGTCGTCCGAAAGAACCTGAAAGAACGATCCGGTTGCCTGTCACGCGCGCGCAGGACGCGCGTAGGAGACGAGCTTCGCGAAAGGGCAAACACGTCTTCATTCTGACCGCCATGAGCTCTCACAATATCCACATCAATGATCTCCCTCCGGAACTACTGAGAATCATCTTCGTTCACTACACTCGAAAGCTCTACGGCCTAGAAAAGTACTTCAAGAAGCCTGTCGTTGACGGACCTGAATTCTCGCACTCGCGTCGTTTCTTATTCTTTTGAAAGCCGGATACCATTGCTATGAAGACGACACGAAGTGGATCGGAAAGCTGGACAAGACGGCGTCGACTGAACGGGGTTCTGAAGCTCTTGGGCGAGGCGTAGGGAGAGACGAGTGCCAGAGCAGATTGTATCACAGGGTAGAGCTGATAGGGCCAGTAATATCCCAAACTGGTCTCCAGTTGGTGGCGGTCGAGAAGACTGCTACGCGACGCGACTCGCGGTCCAGTCGTGTCTCTTGTGGTAACCGTTAATGACGCGTGGTGTCACGCCGTTACAAGCGCGCGGTTTCGACGAGGTTCACCTTCAATGACCACTCGAGATCCCGATGATACATATCTTTCCTGGACCATCAAGCCTGCTCATCAAGGTTTTCGCATATCCAGATATATACTGCAAGCTTGCTCGGGCGTCTCTGTGCTGTTGGTGCTCGGTCATGTCTCTTAGCGACTCGGAATCGCCGTGGGGAGGATCGTCTTTATGGCTGTTCGTATGCTGTTTCTCAAGCATCCGAAGGACCTGAATATACTCTGCCGTACGCAGACGGGTATATTCAGCTCGTGTCGACATACAGAGCAAATGCGACCTCGTCGCATTTCGCCGCGTCCATGTTCATGAGTCACATCGAGCGCCCGATGCGTGCTCCCGAGGGCAATGCCCGTGTCAGAATGACGATAGAAATCCTCGCATTCTATGGAAAAGTAACCAAGAACCTCGTTCTACACGTCCTGACATTCTTGCTCAGAGAAAGAGACCGAGTGTCATATATGAGAGGTCGAGTTGATGAAGGGCATATACGTTCGCGATTTGCGGGTATGCTGTAGTCGACTGGACGTAGAATACGTTGCAACCCGACGGGTATCAATGAGATCAGTACTTGTCGAGACCTGCGTGCCAGCTGCTAGCAAGTCGAACATGAATGCTGGTTCAACCGGATGTCTCTGTCGAAAGTGTATCTTCGATTCGTGAAGACGAGGAGAGGCCTGTATAGACTTTCATCTCGAGTGGAACTCATGTGTTCGGATGGTATCGAGCATTCATCGCATAGACAGCCTATCATCAAGAGCACAACACCACAAGCATCATCACACCCCCCACCCCCTCCCTCCTCATCTCACCATACCCAGACAACAGCACATCACAGAACTTACACGCCCATCTCGACATTCAGCCTCTGCAAATGCGCATGCGTCTCGCTCGGCAGCCGATACCGAATCATGCCCGCGAAGCTCGTCAGCGCCTTCGCCTTCGTCCGGATCCCCGCGAGCGTCTGCACCCACACAAACACCATCAGCACTCCTCGCACATTAAAAATCAAGATCGAGGAAAGACTTACGGCTGCACGCCCGGCATCGCCCACGCCCCCGCCCCCAGCGCTCTTCGTCCGCCGGTAGATCGCGGCGAGGCAGTCCATGGCGAGCGGGACGTACACGCCTGCTGCGCGCGCGAGCGACTCGTGCGCGTCGCGGAAGGACTCGGCGCGCCGCGCGAGGCGGGAGATGTCGGTGTCGGGCGGGAGGAGGGACGTGCGGTCGAGCGTCTGTGCGGGTCGTTAGCGAATCTTGTGAGAAAGTGAGAGGGAGAGGAAGGAGAGGGAAGGGGGAGAGATGTACCTCGAGCGCGGCTTCGAATCGGCCTTCGGCGCGAAGATCCAGCGCCTCGCGTATAGCCAACAAACACCACACCGCGTCCCGTTCCTTGCCCACCGCGCGCCCCAATCTTTCATAGCTCCTTACAATCTCGCGCGCGACCTTCTCGAGCTCCTTCACCTCGTCGGTGGTGCTGCTGGGAGCGGAGGAGAGCGCGGAGGAGAGCGATTGGGCGAGGCACGAGACGACGGTGGCGTAGTCGCCCGACAGGTTGTACAGCTTTACGGCTTCGAGGGGCCGCGCGGTGGATTGGGCTGTGTGGGCGGCGCGGGAGAGGATGTGGGTGGAGAATGTTGATGGGGTTAGGTTCAACAGTGGTAGGGAATGCGTGATCGCGCCGGGCTACAATCCCAAAACTGCATCAGCACCTTCGTCTACAAAGTTGAGAGTGTGAGGAAGACAACATACGAACTGCGTCCCGTCCCCCCCAAACCCGCCCACGAGCTCGTCCCACCCGACCCCGCTCTGCGCGCCCACGATGACCTTGAGCACGAGCTCGTACGCCAGCTCGAGCTGCTCGGGCCCCGCGGGGCCGGGCTGGTCGGCGGCGAGCGGGAGCGTGTAGATGTACTGCAGGGCCTCTTTGGCGTCCGTCTTGGAGAAGGGGCGGATGTAGCGCCAGAGGGTGGGCGCGAGGGAGAGGGAGGGCGGGGCGTTTGGTGGGGTCGATACTACACGGCGGGGTTAGTGGGCGTGTGAGACGAGAATGAGAAGATGCACGTACGGGGTGAGACGTCGCTCGTCTCAGCGCGCCCAGAGACGCGTAGTAAACCGTGGTACGCGAGCGCAATGGCGATATGCACGCCCTCGACGTACGTCTCCTCCCTCTCCAACAGCGCCGCCACACCCCGCTCGAACAACCCCGCGCAAAACAGCGCCGCCGCCCACGCGCCCGGTCTACTAGCAAAATGGCCCGGTCCGTACCCCAAAAGCGTGTCGCCCAGCGCGCGCAGAGAAGATGGAGATGAAGGGTCCGAGTCGTCCTCGGACGTCATGGCGAGCTGGAACCAGAGCCAGTCTTCCGTCGTGCTCGTGACGAGCGGCACCGAGCGGCGCGCGGGGTCGAGGCGGCCCATGAGCTTGTACAGCGCGAGCTTGAACGGGTCCGCGGCGGCGGCGTGCAGCATGTGCGCGTTGTACGCGCTCTGCACGGCGTCGCGGTTCGCCTTGTTTAACTTCCTTCCAGGGTCCTCGAGGTAGGAGCGGAAGAGGGAGGTAAAACCGGGTTCGCGCGCGTCGAGCGCGGCGTGGTGCGATAGGGCTTCGCTCAAGGCGTCGGAGGAGGCGCCGACGCGGAGGAGGAGGAAGAGCTTCGCCCAGAGCGGCTGCGCGGCGACGAGCTCGATTTTGGAGGTCCATTCGCCGGACTTGTAGAAGCGGACGAGGAGGAAGGCGCGCACTTTGTTCGGGAGGGAGGGGTCGCCGCCGAGGCGCGCGGCGAGGGGCTGGGCGAAGATGGTGCGGTCGAGGATCTGCGTGTATTGCTCTTCGAGCGCTTCACGTGCGCCGAGCGATATTTGGCGCAGGAGGGCGGTGTGTGGAGCGGAGTGCGGCGAGGAGAAGTAGGACGGCGCGTGTCGGCGTAATAAGGTGGGGGTGGTGGAGGCGCCGGGGTGTTCGGCCGAGGGGAGGGCGGGCGGCTCGAGCGCGATTTTGGAGAGGATGTGCAGGGTTTGCGTCGTTTGGTTCGTGTGCTGTATCCGGATTAGGTTATATTGGAGTGTGATGAGAGGAGGGAACGTACGTCTGGATTGAGAGCCATGGACACGCGTGCGAGCTCGTGGATTATCGGGTACGACTGGCCCTTGAGCCTCGCGGTGTTAAGCTCGACGATGGGCCTGTCGTACGCCATCATCTTCGCCTGCGTCTGCGCGCTCAACGGCCCGCTCTTCCCGCCGCCTACACCAACAGCTCCCGCACCAGAAGACCTTGTAGCAACAGCCTTGCTCCCGCTCGCAGCGCCCGCCCCGTGACCCAGCTCCTCGAACACCCGCGCCTTCCGCGCGGCCCAGTCGCTCGCCGCGCGCTTCTCGAGCTGCGCGCAGAACTCGTCTTGCGTTTCTTTGCGCGCGGACTCGATGGTGCCGATTATGGACTGCTCGTGCGCGTGCCGGAGGAAGCCGGCGACGTCTGTGTCCGGCAGTGGTTGGAGGGGCGCGAAGGTGTTTTGGGCATTGAGCGAGGCGATGCTGGCGGCGAGCGCTGGGGCGTCTACGCGTGCTTGCGCTAGCAAATAGTTCCTATATCCCAATATAAACCACGTGTCAGTATGTTATAGTAGGAGGGCGAAGGGAGGGTGGCGCACGCGCGGGCCTGGTCATGCTGCGCCCCGGGCTGCTGGCTCACGAGCCGCCGGCTCTGCGCCTCGATCTGGTCGAGCGAGAGCTGCACATGCGGGAGCTCGGGCCGGGCGAATTGGGCGTTCAGCGCTTTGGACTGCGCGAGGAGCGCGGCGAGGTCCGTCGTCGACATGGCCGTTCGAGCACAAGCGATGAACACACGTGATGAGGCGCGTCGCGGGGTGAGGGCGCGTTTTGACGCGCGCGTGCGTGGGTTGGGCGTGGACGGCCATCTCTGGATATTTTGCTATGGAGCGCGCGTTGGTCTCGTACGACGATATTCAGGCTCCGCCGCCTCCTACTGCTCCCGTCGCGGGACCTAGCGCACCCCCCCAGAACTACCAGCAGAATCAACAGCAAAATCAGCCACCGCGCAAGAAACGAAGGAATAACAAGCAGAACCGCGGTGGCGGCGGCGGCAATAATCAACAGAATGTGAACGGGTACAACGGTGGAGGGTACTCTGGCAACGGGTGGAATGGCTCCAGGCCGCACGCGCATTGGGACGACCCGTCTGCGTCTGCGGTGGCACCGGGCTTCGGTGGCGCGCCGCAGTACCAACAACCTCAACAATTCGCCGTAGCCTCACTTCCGGCGAAACCTCTACCTACGGGCCCTCGTGCGCAAGCAGCACCCGCGCAGGAGGAGTACTACGAAGAGGAAGAGTACGCCGAGGAGAATGCAGACGAGGAAGGCGAGGGAGATGGGGAGGGAGAGATGTCGCGGATGTTGACGCGCGAGGAGATATGGGACGATAGGGCGCTGATCGACGCTTGGGAGGCTGCGACGGCCGAGTACGAGGTAAGTCTCTCTCTATCTTTCATATATCTACCTTGTATGTGTGAGAGGGCTGATGTGTGTGGGGTGGGGTGTAGGCGATGCACGGCAAGTCCCAAGCATGGAAGACCGAGCCCGTCAAAAAGTCCGCGCTGTACCGTCACCCTTTCCTTCTCATCCTCGCCCCTCTATTCTGACCAGTTCATCTGTGTGTAGGTGGTACAACGTCCCGCCCAAACCCGCTCGCGCAGATGCGAAAGGTAAATCCAAAGCCGAAGAACCGGCGAACGGCGACTCGCGGCCGTTCGACTTCAACACGTTCGTGCCCACACACGACGCCTCGCTCGGTGTACAAAAGCAGACGAGCGGCGCGGCATATCAGCACGGTGTCGCTGCGGGGGCAGAAGGAGGAGGAGAGGTCGCGTGGGCGGGGCGGGACGAGGCGTTCGGGCAGGCGATGAGCGCGATGTATTGGGCGGGGTATTGGAGTGCTGTTTATCACGTACGTTCTTCTTCTCCCTTACTCCCTCAGTCTTCGTGTTTGCAAGCTAACTAAATTTGTAGAGCCACAATCGCACCACGGCGAAGCATGCTACTGCTGATGAGGAAGAAATCGAAGGCGAAGATGTGGGCATGGACGGCGAAGAGGACGACGATGACGAGGCGGTTATCGCATCGCCCGTGGACGACGATATTATTCCTACTCAGAGATAAAGTCGTGTGTTCAACGTTGATGCAGTCTCGGCTCGTATCGTGGTTTAGTGCTATGATATACAACTCTAGCTGTGCTGGCCTGATGATAACAGTTCCAAGCTGCTTGTTGCGAGATTAGTTTGAGATTGGTCTTGTGGCACCCAAAGTTTGGACTGGTTTTGGGGTAGATCCGAACCAGGGGTTTGCTGCTAAGTTGCATGTCACGTGACACTTTGTTGGGCCAAAATTTGGACTTGACCTAGAATAACAGCACGGCCCTCCGGGCACACCTGGTCCCTGGTTGTGGCGTACACAAAGCACTACACTCCATATCCATTTTATTTAATGCCGACAATCACCGTGTTTTACTCGTGGCGATCATGTGTCCACTCTCCCATTGGCTCACTGAAACGCACGCAGGGTTTTGGATGGAACCATTCATCTATCATGACGCACGGGGCAAACAGAAACACTACAACAGTCGACGTGAGAGTTCTTTCGCATTTGGAATGAGCACATCTCAGTTGTTGCATCTATGCCCCGCACCATGACTACCAACTTGCATGCCTACACTGATCTCGCTCATATCACTCGCCTCGTTACTCCCTCTTGTCGCCAGGCTTTTTGAATGACGTAGCCTGGAGCGACTAGCCTGGATCTACTGAGTTCACCCCGACAACCATAATCACTGCGTGAAGTCCACTTGTGGCAGCGAGCCGCCACGCGTGTTGCGACTTGTACCAGATCATGGCAGCATGTACTTATCGAGCCGAATAAATCTGGCTGACTTCATGTTGCGACAAAAGTGGAGGGTGTGTATCAGCATGTGTGCATTCGACTCCACGTGTGTGCCGCCAGGCTGCCAAAACTGTGGCGATGACTCCTTGCACATCGCTTTCACACCCATCCATACCCGTGCCTATTGAGTGGTACAAGACGGGACAAGTTCGGCTTGTATAAGTACCTCGCCACACCATGTGTCAGCTGTATGGGCTTGTGTAAGTC